GTTACAGGTGTTTATATTTTATTAAAACCCTTCTTCACATTACAGTTTTTAAAAAGTCAATACATTGACTTTTAATAGCATACTATATTACTCTTCATTTTTTTAATTTTTGACTATACTTTTGTATCGTTGTATAAAAAGGTGTCAGTGATGCAGTCCTCGGGCCAAAGTACTAGTCTTCATGTGGCCCTAGTGGTGATTTGAGTTTGAGATCCCTGCTTTAAATCATGCTTGCTTCACTATTTATAGGGTGAAATGCAAGCCTTATTGAAATCAATGGCAAAACTGCTATCATAATTTCGATGGGGCCAGGATTTTGCCCATGCCCTATAATGTTTGGAAGAAATCAGTCAATAGTAAGGGAAATATTATTCCTAAACAGAAGAACCAAATTTTAAAACCACTTTTCAACTCTTATCCCTTGGGATCATTCCACAATTCAAATTCCTTGCTTGTGATATTTTTTGATCTGCTTTTTGTCAATTTCTATGTTTGTATTGGAAGAACTCAAATGTTTATGTCAGTCTTGGCAAGTTGCCAATAAATTCAGTCCTATCCCAAATACATCCACCTTTTCTGAAGCTTTACTTTTATAGTCTTTCCCCTACCCTACTCTTAAATATTGCCTGAGCTCCAGACTCACTCATCAGCACTATTCCACAACTATGATCCCTTTCTCCATATGAACATGACCAATAACCAATCTGTCCTTTCTTCACATATGCTTGTCAACTCAACAAGCTGTTATAAGGTCCACTCTGATCCCTATATCTAGCGAAAATCCTGCTGCCCCAGTGTCAGCTGCTGCTCTGGTGTCCCATAGTTGCTCCCCTGAACCTGTTTTTCCCAGTATTACAACTTGCATCAGCTATTGAGGCTTACAGCCAACAGAAGAACCTAGATAGATACAGTCTTGATGATTATATTCCCTGAAAATAAAGTTTATTAACGTGGAAGCAACACTGATAGATGCTGGAAAATAAAAGTACAACACACTAGGCAAAGCACCAGCCAGAAGGATGTCACAGCATCCACGGTCCATGAAAGAACTGAGGGCCTCAGAAAGGCAGTGTACAACAATGGCCACAAAGAAGAATGGGTTTTTTTCTTCCCAACCATTATCTCTTCTACCTGGAGTGGGAGAGATTTAATTCACCATTTTTTCCCTTTTCATCACCAAAACAAAAGTATCCAGTGAAAATGGTGAAATTTACACATAGTTCTATAGGAAGAAAAACTGATTGAATGAATAATGCATTTTTTATCTGAAACATCCCCAACATTATTGTACTGTAGGTTTGGTTTCGGCCCATGTAGAGGAAAAGAGTGAAATTTGGGCCAATCCAAACTTTTCCTGAAGTGCTTTTTCAGTCTACATATCTATTTGAAATAGGGGTTCTCAAACTATGTCGGGACCCCAAAGTGGGTCACAACCCCATTTTAATGGGGTCGCCAGGGCTGGCATTAGATTTTCTGGGGCCAAAGCCAGAGAGTTTCAGCCCTGGGCAATGGAGATCAGGTTACAGGCCCCCTGCCTGGGGCAGTGGGACTCAGGCTTTGGCTTTGGGGAGCTCAGGTGGGCTCAGGCTTTGGTCCCCCCTCCTGGGGTCATGTAATAATATTTGTTGTCAGAATGGGGTCGCAGCACAATGGAGTTTGAGAACCGGTGATTTAGAACACGCTAATAAACGAAGATCACAGCAACCTACTCTTTTAAATTCAGATTTATCTAAGACAGGTTTGTTGTTGAAAAGTACAGCAAGAATTCAGATGTCAGAATTTCTCCTAAGTAAAGTCCTAAACACAAGAAGCACCTTCTCCATCCTTCCTTCAGCAGTTACTTCTACTGCAACATATCCTGTTGAGAATAAGTTCTTCATGGAAAAGCTAATGCCTCCTCTTGAACCAGTCAAGAGGAGTTTCTATAAAAACAAAGCAGCCAATGTATTTCCCTCAGAAGTTACACATGCCCTTTCCATGATATAGCGCAACTAGTCTGGGAGGGCTCAAATACTAAATCAATAAATAAAAAGAAGTCTCCTGCTAGGAAATTTTCAAATTTTACACCAAAAACCATCACTGTAACAGAGTAGCATCATATAAGTAAACACATGACAAAACAAACATTATTTCTGGCAATACTGATCCTCTAAACAATTTCAATATAGTGCATGAGGAGTTACATGTGCGACTCTAGTTAAAAAACGAACACTGTGTACATAAGTCTCTGCATACTGAGAAGGGGGAGGAATCCCTATGAGTTTGTATGTTGAATCACAAGGTGATCACACATGTATTCTCTATTTGAAAAAGAACTATCAGATTTATAATATTGATTATTCTCAACTACGGTAGCTTTAATTTGTGGGGCTTACATAACAAATGGAACACTGATTAAGATCTTTCTTGCACTCCAACAGTGCCACCTAGTGTGTGTCTAGTAGACAAGTCAAAGATAATTGCTCGATTTAGTTTTACTCTCTTGGTACTCAGCATTTGTACATTTGTTTTAATGCGTCAGTCATACCTATAATCAACCATGCTTAATATAGCACTAATAAGTCATTATATCAACAAAATACCATAGCTTTCAATTGCTGTGTATTTAGGTGTCCATTTTTTGTCTTCCCAGGCCCCATTACATAAAGCCAATCTAGATTGGGCTCTGTGTAATTATGTACTATTTATGTGTGGTCTTTAACTTTGACCCTCAGAACCAATTCCTAACAATTTAATGATGTGTTATCCCTGAACTCATATTTTATCTCTATTAAAGTCCTGAAAGTCTGTAACAAAACAGTTAAGCAGAAGTATTTTTGAACATTTATAAATATGTCCCTTGCTGTAACAATCTGCAGAGTAATCCAATGTTCTTATATGTTCTTCCCAAAAAACATCTTGCAAATCATTAGGGAACAATGCAGAAAATAAAGTAAGTGAAGTTCATTTATTTAAGTCTGAATACTAGTGATACCATAGCAGTATTTTCGGAAGCCTTCTCAATCCATAGCTA